AAATGGGCATTGACAAAATGACAAGTATAAGATCCATAATCCCAACCGAAAAAGGAAGAAAATTATAGCATAAATAATACTAAAAAAAAAAAAAAAAAACTTAGGCAAACTAAACTGTTTTATGTGGCCATATTTTATTTTATTAAAAAAAATGTAAAAGACCATTACCAAACTCTGCGTTACTCTTCTGGAGTCTTCTAATCCAATAATCCCTATAATTAAATACTGTACAATCTCAACTAATTACAAATCACCTGCCTAAGATTTTCTGACAACTAACTTAAGCTAGACAGCTATTTTCCACAAGCGGAAAAATTAATAAATTGATAACTCAAAGTCAAAAGTGGAAAAATATCTGAATTTCATTACTCTGTAGCTGTATACTTTCATGTACCATCCGATGTAGACCATGGTAGGCATAGTTGGTGGACCATTAGCAAAAATTTGTACTCACTTTAGTATTTCATACACATTATCTGCAACGATTTGACATAAAGTAGAGAGAAAAAATGTCTAATCGTTGCAAATAATGTGTAACGGAGGTAGTATTTGCTTCATTTTTTCATGCACGGAATTTTTAGAAAAGAGTACTAGAAAGTAATGAAATACTCTGTATAATAGGAGTGGGTTGATTACAAAATAATAAAATCTAAAAAAGTAATGTAGAGAGGAGAGAGAATATGAAAATATTATATGAGGGAACCACTAGTGGGGAGAAAAACATTAAAATATAGTTAAAAGTTTTCAAATAGAACAAGTAATAAAATATAGCCGCAAAAGAAAAATGAAGCAATTAATAAAAGGATCTTGCTAACGAGCGCCCCCGAGACGTTAGATAAACATTTAAAATATTTAAAGTGGTACGAAGTATTAATTTGGGAAAGCATGACAAAATCACACGTCAATCGGTGTAATTAATGCTAATTTTAGTTTAATCTTTCTAATTTTAGCTAGCTTATCTAACGCCCCGAGACGTTCGTTAGCTTTTGCCTTAATAAAATAAGGAAGAGTAATGTTTTATCATTTTATATTTTTATGCACTTCAATTTAATTATTCCAATTGGATTTATATATGCTAATATTGTGATCGTGATTATGTAATAACATGTTTTGCATGAAATTATGGTGTATTTGAAATGCGTTGAACATAATTTGAACTAAAAGATGTATGATTAATTTTTATTAGATTCAATTGAATTTATATATGCTAATACTATGATCTTGAATATGTAATAGCACGTTTTTCTTGAAAATATAGAATTTGTTATATTACCCAGTTGTATCGTACTAAGGATAGTTTTTGTTTTTCATTTTATAATCATAAGATTGAGAACAAATACTCATAGGTGTATGGTACACCCGGGTGTATATAACAACCGCTCTTGAAAATATGGAGTATTTGAAATAAGTTGAACATAATTGAATTTAAAAATGTAGAATTCAATTGAAAAAAGAGTTTTTTTTTTTTTTTCCATTCCAAACAACCCTATTCGGCTATTCATGACAGATTTAGCCTACTTAGATGAAAGTTGAGCCGAGTTGACTTGTATAAAATATGGGTCAAATTAGACGCATCTCCCTATCTTAATAGAAAAAAAAGAAGTATGGAGTAAAAAATATGTTGAATCTCATTCTTCTAATATCCGTCAAATGTAGTGGCTTCGTCAATTAGGTGTTGAAAACTTCCAAATGTAAATTACCAAGTGGATTCTTACCTGTCAAACAAGCTACAATCTCCCAACTTTAATTGCATTCAAATCTATTTCAAAATCTTCTTATTTCATGACTTAGTCCTTTTGCATTTAGCATGCCTTACATACACAATTTCTCAACCAAAAAAAAAAAAAAAAAAAAGAGATTTTTTTATTAAGAAAATTGAAAAATCAAAATCAAGCATATAGTCATATACACACTCATATATAAAGCAGCCCAACAAGACCGAAAGAAAAACCCAACAACTCAACAACAACAAACCAAAATCAAAACCAAAACAAGAAACACAACATCAAGAGAATATGCAACACAAATCTAGGTTGCTATCAAAGCCACCAGTTGGCGGAGGAGTACAAATGCGGATCAAGAGAAGAAATATACCGGCCGCCTCGGCCGCAAAAGGAGGATCACAAGCACCCACATCAACCCCTTCTCCTTCATCAAAAGGGTTGGCATTATTATACTATGGTAATCAAGATTACTCTACTTATGGAGACAAGTTGAGAAAACAACAAATGATGAAAGAGATGTTGATAAGAAGAGCGTTATCACCGCCACCGAGACGGCTCACGTTACGGTGGCGGAACTTTCAGCCTACGCCGAGCCGCCTTTCGATGATGTCAACGGCCTCATAATATAGAAGAATTCTATTAGTTAGTTGTTCATCATTCATAACATGTAATTTTATTTTATTTTTCAGATTAGAGGTAGGAAATTAAACATTGTTTGTTTTACAGTGTATATAATATTGTACCAACTTTAAGTTAAGTAATGTCTTATACTACCTCCGATTTTTTTTAGTTGGAAACCAAAGTTGCAACTAAAAAAAACGGAGGTAGTAGTTCAGATTTTAACAGAAAACTACAAAATTTTCTGAAGCATATATATATATACAGATCGGTTAGGAGAAAATTATACAATACAGACCTTGGTGCATCTAGTTGTGCCGCCGGCGGCTCGGCCGTGGATCAAGTACGATCATTGGGATTATTGATGGATATCAACAAAAAAAACTCCAGGTTTGATCATAGATTATTACAGGATTTGTTAATATTATGGTGACGTTAATGTTTGGAAAAAAAAAAAGCTAATTTCTAATGACTTTAATCTGGAAAGTTAACTGGTTGATAAGGGGTATACTCGAATATCAATTTTATTATACAGTAGAACCAAATGGTATACAAAATCAAATTCTTTTAGACAATTCTTCGTTTTTTTTTTTTTAAAAATTGATGATATTAATTTATTTGACTGTGTATCTTATTTCATCTCTCTCCCTAGATTCCCTCCGTTACATGAAAACTATGTACCTTTCTCGTTGCAATTAATTGACCACAGAATTTCATAAGATTGTGTTTTTGTACTCGAACTTTTTCTTTTGCAGCCGTATTTAAATGAATAAAATGTTTTATTTAGTGACTTTTCTCTATTTTTTTTTAAAAAAATTCTCAAAATTCTCTATTTTTTAAAAATAATACTATACTCCGTACTAATTATTTAATTAATGGTATCAATAAACCCTCTTATTTTCTTCTTTCTCTTCAAACTTATACCCTCTTACCTATTACTCGTCTTTTATTAAATTAACTAATTAACCTTTTTAAAATTCCGTGAAAGTCAAAACCTCATTTATTAAAACATGGAGGGAGTAAAATGCATGATATGGTTGTTGATTTCTTTTTTTCATCATAAATCAGTGAAATTAATAAAAGAATGATTTGGGAAGTACATTAAAGTAAAAAATAAAATAAAAATGAAGAGTTTTCATGCTATATACTTGTATAGATGTACATTATTTAGGCAAATTAATTGTCAAAATTTAGAGGAAAAGTATTTATGATATGTCTTGTTATATGTCTTAGAAAAATAATTGCTAGTGTTAACACGATTTGGAAGAGGTTACTTTTCTTTTAAGATTCAAGTTGTAGTTGTTCTTTTCTTTTCCTAGAATTGTTGCTTCAAGTGTTTTTACAAGAGCAAATTATGAGTCACGTCCTTGCCAATAATGAAATACTACTATAATGTACTACTTCCATTCTCGTTCTTTATTTATTTGGTTAATGATTGATTTAGATTTGGGTAAAATTTCTCATCTCATATACTTGTATAGTTGTAATGAAAGCGCTTCAAATTCGATCTCTTTAATACTCATATCCAGGCTATTGTCAAAAATCATAAAAAACCAGTTAATATTAGTCATATTTCATTGAGTACCTTAGTTTCGAATTAATTTGGGTCAAAATCAATTTATCTAGCTTCACATATAAGGTGGCATCGACTGTGTCAGATCCGCGGATGAAATACCAAACAGATGAATATCAGCAGCAAAAATGTAATGTAATCTTGTAGAAGTAACTACAATTATTTGCATACTGATGTATGTAGTCTACATACCATTCAATGAGTAAAATAGAACACAGGATTAGAAATTATGTTAATGCTCTTTTACTTGTATATGTATGGTTATTTACCTCAAAAAAAATAAATGTAAATATACAGGAATAGCTATAGCTGAAAATACCAATCGGTGTAGAATGCTACGTATACAGAAGCTATGTTGTCGCTTATACTCCTTTTGTACATCTTATATGTTATGTAGAAGCGACGTGACCACAATTATCCTTTACAACTAGATCTGGCAAGCGTTGCAACACCACAATTTACCAAAGCCAAAACCCTACCAGCTCACCATACGACTTGACAGATTCAACCTTCATTAGGATCACTAATAGTAGGAAAAATCTCAGACTGTTGTCCTCAATGGAGTCACATCTTCCTCACTCCTGGGAAAAAATAGCACATTAATAACCAGAAGATTCAGATCACAGGTTGCCTCACAAGATGATGATTCAGATCCTTGATTATCACACAATTATCATTTATTAGCTTGCAATTGGTAATATTATCTCAGAATATATTAAGCAATGGAATGAAGGGAATGCAAATAAAGATTTCATGGAATTTGATATCAACACAAACAGATCATTTCTGCTAATAGCCAGCTGCCATTTACCAACATCTAACATAAATCTGGATCCTTAGCAACCTATTTGGAAGAAAATAAGCACCAAGTGCAGCATATATAGACCATTAGACACTGTCATACTTCAAGTTTAGCATATTTATAACTATTGAATGTAAATGATAGAAAGGGCAATTGGTATATTTAGGAACAGGATTGACAACAGACACAAGTGTTATTGTTCACTTCATGAAAAGAGCTGGTTGGGGGTGCGCGTCAAAAACAGAAGACAAAACAACATTCAGGATAGCAAGTAATTCTTAACTTACGTCGATAGTATTGTCACCCATATGAGCTCCACACAATCAACCCAAAGCAGTCTTTGTTCTATAGGAATGACGCCATATGTCACAAGGTGTGCAAAAGGCCAAAGCTTCCATCCTGCCTGCAAAGCAATAATGATACAATAATTATTAAAAAGTTATTTCCAATAAACGGTTCTTACAGTTATAATTAGTTATCAAGAATATCAAAGTGACTTCACAATTTCAAGCACTCATTCTCTTCCAAAAACAAATCAATAGCTAACAGTTCAGATTTTTACCCACTTCTAGTAGACCTTCTACATCCTCAAAGTATGGTTATAGTTTTGCCTCTAATTACCTTTATGTCTCAACATGGTCCTAGATGTATTACTTAACTTTCTTACGCCCCATATGTGGCTGCTCAACTAATCAATTCAAGAGGGCCTCAGAAGGCCTCTTGAAATACAACATCGTAGAAAGGGGGCTGGAACTGTAATGGATCTTTAATGTAGGAATGTCAGTTCAAGACAGGTTTACCTCATGGATAAGATAAGAAAGACAAGGCAAGAGGAAACTGAGACATTGGAATGGAATGCAAATTTAGAATCAGCACACATTTCCTAAAGACCAGACACTCATTCTGTAATGTTTTAAGGTCAACCCTTGTACTCTGTATATGCAAGTATCAAATGCTATGTTCAAGATAGAAAAGATCTAGAGAAACTACTTACAGTGAGCATAGGCAAGAATGTTCCCTTCAGTTCTTTGAATATACTAACGGGTGATTCCAATCTCAAGAGCCCCAGAACTACAAAATAAATACTATTCCATATTCCTGACCAAATAGTTTGATCAAAGGCAACTTTAATAGGAACTGCCCACCAGTCTTGGAATGGAAATAATGCCTGAAAGAAACAGACTAGTTAAGACTACAATCATTTAAGGAACAAAGACAATAACTACAACAAAAATATATTAGAACAGTGGACAGTATTTTCAGTAAAGAATACCTCACACAATTCATAATAGTAATGAGAAAGAGAACCATGTAAAGCGAATCCAGCAAGTCCAGATCTCAACATGCGGGTACGATCAAATTCAAAAAGTGGTTTCCCTTCATAGCACTGCAATTAGATAATGTAAGAAATTTATAGGAGGCATATTGGAAGCATCCAATTAAGAATAAACAACAATCACCACAGTGGCTAACCTGCGCTATCCAATCCCCTATTGAGTACACAACTCCACTAATCACCATTTTTGCTAATACAGGATTGGTTTTAAGAATCTCTTCATAAGCACTCCAGTTGTGTTGAGGAGCATATCTCAGTATTTCAAAAATTGTCCATCCCTGAAAGCAAAACACAAAGGTAGTGAGCCAGAGGTTTTTAGATTCTACAATTTTTTCTCGATAAATAGTCCAATGTATATGACTTCAATGGAAAACATATATCAAGTTAAATAGCAAATGCAATTCAGCAGAGTTTCCATGAACTATATGACATGTTTAAATAAAACCACATATATGGATTACTGTTTCAAAATATGATTCAATTAATTACACAGGTGGAAAATATAGCGCTTAAGACTTAACCATCTTTTTGACAGGAAAGCATTGAAACAAAGCTTAAAATCATAGAAAAAGTCATGTAAATAACCAGCAACCAGTAAAAACACAACTATTAAGACGTGATTCGTGTTCAGCTTCAGCCAAAATCAGTATAAGGCTATATGCAACCGAGATGCCATATAGCTACTTGATAACTGTTCATATCACAATCTCAATTTCAGCAAGAATTAAATTCACATACACTCAACCCAATTTTCTCATCTGTCATGAGCTCATAAACAGCATATATGAACAAAACTACAATTTAAAAATAAAAAATTCCCTATACTTCCATAAACAAGCTAATGAATTTACTAGTACAGTACTACAATGGCTTTGTTCCTCCCACCATAAAGCCATAAGTTCGAGATAAAACAAGTTAACAATAGTTCCTATAAGTTCAAATAACTGCTACCTAAGTTCAATTCATAACTAATTAAGCTCTAATGAGTTCAGATAAGTTCCGTAAAGTTCAGATAAAGATTTCCAAGACAAAAGAACAACATATAATTACTAATTACAGCTCCATAACCAGAAATCATAATTCTTAGTCTTAGAATAGTTTTTTCTTAGGTTGAGAGCTTCTCTCTCTAGATTAGGCTAAATTAGGAGTAGTTTTAGAGAGAGAAAGTGAAGAATTTCAATGGTGATTGAGAGATTGAAGATACAAGGGTGACAATTGTGTTCAAGATCTTCTCTATTATCAATGAGCATTCTTAACTCTATCTCACCTTAATGCTTTGTTTAATTTCATGTTTGTTTGGATTTATTTTGATGTTTGATGCTTAATTAGTGTAGTTATTCTTGATATATTGTTGATTCTTGATTTCCATAGTTGTTAGTTGATAGATGATGATTCTTGAATAGTTGTTTGGCTAGGAATTGGGTGAAACTTGTATGATTGATTAATTGTGATTAATTTGGAAATTGTTTTGATTGATTGTTGAGATTAAAGTGATTAGTGAAGGTTTGCATGTGTGTAATTCAATAAAGCCCTGAGAATTATGCAAGATTGCATTGTAATTGCTAATGACATGAACAATTGATTTAGGAATTGCAATTATCGATTGGTTTTGATTGTGATTCTCTTAGTTTGTTATTCGTAGTGAAACCTAGCTTAACAATTAGGAGATAGCTCTTCGATTCCTATTGATTGCTCTTATCATTAGTCCTCACAACCTTTGATTGGCATGCTCTTCCCAAGTTGTTGCAATTGACATGATTACTTGTTGATCCCCGTTCCTAGTGTTTTATTTCCTTGGTTACTTATTTTGTTAGTTGTTAGTATTCTCCCTTTACCCTTTGATTTCGACCTAGTTTAGGCGCATAATTGAAAGTGCTTGAACATTACCGTTCCTTTAGGTTCGACCCTTGACTTGCCTCTATACTCGTATTTAGGTTTGTTAAGTGTTTATAAATTTAGTTTGACCGAGGGAAGATTAGATAATGACAGGGTAAAGTCGTATCCCCTAATAAAAAATAAATACCTAAATCACTAACTAAGGTAGATAGGGAAGTAAGGTCGATCTCCACAGGGAAACAAGTCTTTTTACTTCCAATTAATTATTATAATCTAAATTATTTAAGTAACCAATATTTATAATTAAGTATGAGACTAAACAACAAAGAATAAGAGTAGGGAGAAAACAATATATAAAGGGATCTAGGGTATAGGTTCACCAATAAATAATACTTCAGGGTAAAATAGGGTATCAATCATTGACATTGCATAAATAACATGATCAACAGGCTCTCGCAATTTATTAATCAACATAGATCTAACAGGCTCTCGCAATTTACTAGATCTAAGTCCTCATTGAAAATAGCCTTTAATATCAAATTAACATCTGCTCGATTCATCAATTTAATATTGCTATACTTTTACAAGCCGCAATTGTAAAACATTAAAACAATCCAATAAGAAATTATCATGCAATACCAATAATCAATAACAGTCAATCATCAATGCATCAATTAACCAGATTGTAAAGGGCTCTCGCTACTTATTACAATCACACAATTAATTTATCGGTATTAAATCTCATCTCTCAAATCTTGACTTAACCATTTATAAATTAACTTGCCTATTGAAACTAGACCTAAACATTAATCCTCATCTCTCGATTCTTGAATCAATATTGTCAAACTCATGCATAAAAGATCGGCCTAATCTAGTCACAGAGCATTAATTCAATCAATAGAAAATTAATCTAGCATTGATAATCAACAACAATAATTTACCCCTTCATATTATTTATTAGATCCCCATAAACCCTAGAAATTGAACTACTCACACATACTAAAAACTAAACTAAACAAAGCAATAAAATAACTCATGATCAAAGGAATAAAATAAATAACTAAGATTAAGGGAAAAGAAATCGTTACCAAAATAAATCTGAAATTAATCAAAGAAATAATAACAAAGGTTTAGAGAGAGAGTTTAGAGAAAGAAGTCTAAGTAGAGAGAAAAAAAACTAAGAGAAAAGATTAAGAGAAGAAGAAGAGGAAGAAGATAGATTCCTAAAAATCCGTACAAAAACGTATTTAAACAAAACTAAGAACAACTCCTAATTAGAAACTAATTGCTCGTCCAAAAAACACCTCTCCAGAAACACGCGCCCGATCGGGCGCGCCTTTTTGCCAGTACTCCTTCTAAGTTGTCGCGCCCGATCGGGTGAGCCCGATCGAGCTAGCAGCTCACCCGATCTGGCGCACCTTCCCTTGATGGCACTCCCACACATCCGCCCGATCGGGCGATTGCTTGCCCGATCGGGCCCGGTCTTTATCTTCAAGGCTTTGGACTTCGATTGGGCTAGATTTCTCGGCCCAATCCATATTTCCTCTCGGGTCTCGAATACATGGTCCAATTGCCTCGCGATCCAAATAACCGAGCCCTTAATCACCGCTCGATGGCTCTAACCGGCCTTGGGCTCCATAAGTGGTCGTGTTCTTCCAATGCTCGTAGTCGCTTCATAAAAATCCCGGGAAAATGCTCCAAAGGTGCAATTCCCTGCAAAACTCAACCAAAACTACGAAAACACTAGAAAACACACATTAGTAATAAAAGTGGCCCTAAAGAGCCAAAAACACTACTCATTATGACCAAGGGACGGGGGTAAAACATTATATAAAATAGACATATCAGATAACGACCTAGTTTTCCCCTCGTCAGAATGATTGCTTGAATAGGGGGGTATCGCTCAGATGTGAATATCGTAAAATGGTACTTTTTATTATTTGTTGTACCCAAATCTTAAACACACCAGTATTTGTTCTTGGTACTCAATCTTTTTGTTCTTGGTAGGAAAAATCAAAACGAGATCCAACTGCACGCGAGTCGAAGCTTCTCAATATTTTCAGAATGCCCCCCCGTTTCCCAAGAGGGTCGTGTGTAATGAAGCCTCTTAGGGAACAAGTGATGGAACTTCTTGAGGGAACCACATCCACCAGCAGCGGGAGCTGCTCCCGGTTTAAAAAAAGAACGCCCAGGCGTCCAAAACAGAATGCACCCCTGTGGAAGTCGAAATTAATTGATGCTCTCGTTTACTTGGTTGCTGAGCATCGCCTCCGTATTGAACTCATGGGTGAAATATGCAGGATGTTCCATGCAGAGATGGTGGATTGTTTTGTGAAACTACCTTCATGCAAACAAATAGAGCAGCTCAAAATTTTGGTGGGCGATTGTAAGCAATATTGTGTTATCTTAGCTAATGAGTTTGATGATGATGATGGGTTTTCATCTTTCAGTTGCATGGGGCAGTCACTAACTGGTATAACTGTTTTTGGTTTATTTATTTATTTTGTGCAGGTACTTGACCACTCTCTCGTGAGGAGCAAGACCTCAACCGGACCACTCAGCCTAATCAAAGAAAGTTTTTTAATTTGATTATTGAGAAACTATTTTTCAGGAACTTTTTTAATGTAGTATTTTGTAACTTTTTTATTTATTTATTTTGTGCAGGTGCCTCTGCTCTCCTTACCACTCAGCCGTTTCCATTTTCGCCACCGGCTGATTGCACTCAACCGTTTCCATTTTCGCCACCGGCTGATTGCACTCAGCCTTTTCAATTTTCTCCATCGGCTGATTGCACTCAGCCTTATTGATTGAACTATGTGGGAAAACAAGGTATTTCTTATTTCAATATTTCCTGTTTTTTTGGCTTTATCTATTTCGTACAGATGCATTTATCAAGATGACGAAAATGCTGATGATGCTCAAAATGGTCATGCTCACTATGCAACATCTAAACAAGAAAGAATGTTCTTTTCAGTTATATCTGTTATCGCTGCTGTTGCTCTGTGGTTTGTTGGTTGATTAAATGGTTGGTCTTTATGTTGGTTATTAATCTTATTGTGCTGGTTGTTCGGCTGGTATTTTGGTTATCTGATTGGGAATGTGGTTGGTTTTTCGGTTGGATCTAATGACTGCGTTGGGGAGATATGTTTGATGGATGATGATGTAGCTTTGAATATGATTCACACCTTCTCATTTTTTACCCCATTGACCACTGAAAGGGGTCATTGCTCTACTTCCTTCTAGTTCCCCAATTAGGTCCTCCTTCTACTCCTTGTGAGTCCCCAGCCCCCCTTTCTTTGCCTAATGTCCACATGATGAATGGACTTCACCCATGAGTTATGTGCTATGATTGTTGGATTCCATTAGTGGTTTCATTCTTCACCTGGTGATGCCACTATACCTTCCTTAATGGATGGGTTGTTAGCATTGGATCTCAGAGTTTATTTTGGTGATCATGTCGAAAAGCAACATACCATAAAGAAAGGTTTAAGGCATTAATACACCATTAGATATGGAAGCCCTATGTTGAGTTAGATAGGCATTTCACTTATGACAGTAATTTTCTGCAAGGCTGATCAGAATTCCTTAGTTTGATTAAGTTTATCTTACCAATAACAATTTCACCATATCCCTTTATATCCCATTGGAGGTTCTGATGTTTAATTGTCAATGGCATTACAATGTACAACCAGCTAGTTATTTTCGAATTGAATTTGAGTTTTAGTGGTTATGGAAACGTTTTGAGGGGCTATACTTGAATAACTATTGCATTGTGATTGAATCTTGCTTGTTATGTCTTTTTCTATATGTCTTCTGCCTGTTTGAGTGGATTCTTGTTGACAAGAATATGGGATAATGCAGGCTTATATTGGCAGGTTGCTGGAGGGCGTTACGATGATGCAAAATTAGCTAAGATGATGCATTGTTGCTTGAATTCTTGTATTGCCGCAAAAGTGGAGGTATTTAACTAGCTTTAGCAGTTTTAAATCCCTTTTAGTGTGCTGGGTGGTTTCTTCTAATAACTTGGGATAATTTTTTACTGCTTATTTTGAACAATGAATAATAGGACTAATGCCTTTTAGATTAGTCAAATATTTGCAGAAGGTGAGTACTCTAATCAGTTTATGTGGTTTCTATCCCCCTTTCTTGTTTGAAGCTTTTACTACAACAAAATAAGGCATCGGTAACAACAAAAAAGTGTTACCTAATGTTAAAAAAGTGTTGCCTTGTATCTAAGGCAACACAATTGAGGCGTAGCATTTACCTCCGTGGCCTATTCTTTAGGCAACACATTTTGATACAAAGGCAACAATTTTAAAAACAAGTCTAAGAGATACCTAAGGCAACAGTTTTACAAAGGCAACATGTTATAATTGTTGCATCCTTTAGTGACAATTTAAAACTATCACCTAATCTCCAATATGCAACAATTATTTGTTTGTCGTATATGTTAATAATTAAAAGGGAGTGTTGCCGATTGTTTCAAATAATTATTGTTTATTATGATAATTGTTTGAATTATTCTTAAATTGAGCACCATATGCGATCCCTGTGAAATATTCATTGTGATGTTAATAATTTTTTAAGACAAATTTGTTAATCTCTAGGTAAGAAACAATTATCATAATAAACATTTTTACAATAAACTTCAAAGATTCAAGCAAATATTAGCATCCATAACTACATAAATTTTGATCCCCAATTAGATTCACATAGTGCAATAAACTTGATGTCTAAGATTGTACATACTACTTATAAATATATATAACAAAATAAAGAAAATATAGACAGTAGAGTTTATACAACTCCATGGAGTGACAATAATGGACTAGCATAAGTGTCAATCATGCATGATCAAATTAAGTCTTCATCTTCGTCTTCAATGACTTCTTCTTCTTGTTCATCAGTCATGTGGTTCACCCCCTGTAAAATAAAAGGAAATAAATAATTCAACAACATTCCTAAATAGGAATTTTCGTGATAAAATTTTATTAGTGTTTTGTTAGTGTTGTATTATAGATAATGGAAATTGTAGTACATGAATAAAAATATTTATAATTTCAAATCAATTCCTGAAATAGAGTTGCCCATTGAATAATCACAATTGGGATGATTTCATTACAAATAATCTATACAATGTCAAAACTAACTTCGCTCAAAATAACCTCCTCTCCAACTAAGTATTTGAGATGATTATTACTGATTAGGTATGTCTTAAGTTGGTATTAAAACAGTCCTCAAATTCAGCATTACACTATTAATTTACTCTTTTTAAAAACATTATGTACCTGATTAGATGTAGATGCAGACTGAAGTGGAAGCATTCCTTCCATATTATCTTGAAAATTAGCATCCTTCTCCGAGTGATCATCAAGCAATAAAGAGCCAAACACACCAAGGTCAAAAGACGTGTGAGGAATTTGTTGTTGAAGTTGAGAGAAGAGGGATCGAAGACCATTGGCTAACTCCACTCTATCTTGCTGCCTCCTATCTTCATAATATTTTTTACCCTCAATAGGAACTATGTAATGTTTCTGCAGCAATACAAAAAAAAAAGTAAGTAATACTAAATCTGAACAATATAGAAAAAGCAATGTTTCCAATTCTTCAAAATTATTCAGAGATCCTAGTAGAATTACTTATTAAATGACATAAAGGAGTGTAGACTATTTGCATAAAAAATTGCATTGTGTATATGTTGGAAGTAATGAAGTTTGTTAATTTGATGTTACTAGTAATTGGACATATATTTATAAAACAGATATAGTATGACAGGTTATTTAATGCAAAGAACTGGACCAAAACAGCACTGGTGTTTCTAAGTTACATGAGAGTTTGACTAATCAGAAAAGAAACTATAGGAAAACTGGAGTTACTTCATGCTTCTGGAGGCAAGAATTAGCTCTTACTAGTAGCTACTAGCACGTAGAATTGTTTTCTATTTATTCTTTTTAATTTTGTTTGTAGCACATTTGAATGCTCAAGTCCATTCTTTTACAGGTTATTTTATTAAAACAAATTTCATTGGCTACCTATTTGAGGGTAGACTTGTGAGAGTTCTTAAAATACACTACTGCTGCACACACATAGTTGGTCCTCTTCTAGGCTTATCCATTCCACCTAACATGAACAAAGATATTCCAAAATTATATAAAATAATGATTGATCATATGTAGGTATACATTTTATAATTTTTAAATATAGAAAAGAAAGAGAGCTTGCCATTTTCTTTATCATTCTCATTTTGATCTAAGTGTCTGACTTCCAATTCTAGTGTTTCAACAGGTTCTCTTCTTATAACATGATGTTGTGATGCATGACTAGGGGTAGATGAGCCACCAGATGAACTTTCTGTCGACATTTCTTAAAAGCTGAAGCAATTTTCACTGATTTTTGAGTCACAGCCTTCATTTTGCGAATCTGTGAATGTGAAAAAAAAAATAAAGAAACAAGTACGATACTCTAACATATATAAATACATTATATGAAAAAGAACAATGTCTATCTAATTAAAAAAAAGTTCCACACTCAATATTAAATTATCTTTGACCATGCTTTATAGCTTCCTCAATCTCCATGGAAGAATAATTAAATAGTATCAAAATCAAGATAAGACACAACTCTTATTGATATATTCTTAGAATATTTGATCAGATTATTTTGAGGTGTATTCATCTATTCTTTGTTTAAGTTTTCCATACCCTAATAATCTCTAACCTTCACAATATATATAATGCATACAAACAAAACAACAATAAAACATTTTCATGGCCATAAGGATGGGAATAGTGCACACATTAGAAACTTTTTAAGCAACTACAATTAAAATGCACATAACATCACAACACTTTATTATTTAAGCAGCATTAACAAGTGTAAAGAATAGAGACATGCTAAGATAATTCATTTCATGAATATAATTACCTTCCATGGAATAGACTTGGACTTGAGATTACATTTAGAATGTGGAATAGGTAACTCTTCACCGCAGGAAACAAGCTCATGCTCCATATCAGAATCTTGGTTAGGCTGATAAATCTCATTATCCTCTGAAACCTTTTTTATTTTAGCCTTACTACGACTGCCTCTATTGTTTTGAACTAGTGCCATCAATGACTTGGCCTGATCCTTCAAACCTAGCTCTTTCATTTTAGACCCATTTTCTTTGATCCTTTCCATTCTAACTCTCTCATATCCCGGTGTTCTTGGTTCACGAGTCTGATGCTGATCACCAGAACCTCTTATAGCTCCAAGCTTAGTTAATTTTTTCTTTTCCATACTTGAAGCTAATAAAATTTGAAAATAAATCCAATGAAACAGAAGAAAAAAACACATATATGTACATATATAAGCTGTCACAAAGCAAGCTTGTATAAAATAAAAAGCAAAAACTAAGCTAAGGGGTAAATATATGTAAACTAACCAACAAAACACAAATAATTAATCAAAGAGAAAAAAAATAAAGCATCAAGTTGATGATTTTTATTACGCAGTAGTGTTAAACCGTAGTAAATCAGGTTTCTGCAACTGCTAGTCTCATGCTATGTGGGTTTGAACTTTATGCACTATCCATAGTATTTCAATCTATTTTTCAGGTCTGGCCCGGAACCGGACCTGTTAATTCAGGTCCGGTCCCCGGTCCTCATAATTACCCAATTCAGGTCCCCGGTCCAAACAGGTCCGGTCCAGGTCCGGTCCGGTTTTGGACCGGTGTACACCCTAATCCATACGCCAAATCAAACCTTTATAACTCAATTAGAGTTCATCTACAACATTATGAAAATAGAAATCCTCGAAGTATGAATCAAACTATAAGTGGAATTTAAATTTATGAAAAATAGAAGTACACATAAGAAACCAAACGAAATTAAGATTGGATTAGAGCACTTTGTTATTGGTCAATCAATTGGATCATGAATTATTGCATAGTCAGCATCATGTGTTGTTAGTAACTAATACTAGTCCTCAACTTCTAGTTTCTCAATTTCAATTTAAATTTTGGTAATGTACAATAGTACATAATAGAACCCTGTAGCCTACGGCCTACCCATAACTTGTCTTAAACCTCCCCCCACCCCCTCTCTCTCTTTATCTCTCTCACCAATGAATAATATGCAAAATAGAGTAAATGAAAGTGGGTATTGCTTATAGTATTAATATTTGAAATTATACATCCAAAATTAGATGTTTTCTTTCAACGTCACTGTTTGTATGCCAAAGTGCCTAACTTACATTTTTGATGAAATTCCACAGTACAATAAATGAAAATTCAAATTACATGCATATAATACAATCATTAGAGTAAAATCAACACATGCTTTTCAAGTAAAATCTATGGATAGTGAGGGAAGCAGATCAAGAAGTGAAACGTGAGTAACTGTTTCTTAGTGGGAAATTGTTGGAGCCAGAAAAATTTCACCATGTTCGCGAGTTTTGGAGATGAAACCGGCAAACCTTTGTTTTTTTTTTTTTTGGAAATAAATGTCCAAGTTCTATCTGTTATTCTTGTATATAATCTTAGTATGAGCTCTTTCCCAAATTAAAGTCAAGAAGAACGCAATTCCCAAATTGCAGCCAAAGTTTTAAGAATTCCCATTCTACCGTCCACGTAAGCACTGGTTAAAAAACCGGTTTTTTTTTTTTCCGGTCCAAGGTAAACCGCTACTTGAAGTAGCGGTTTCTTTGCAATAAACCGCCACTTCAAGTAGCGGTTTCTTAGTTTAAAACCGCTACTTGAAGTAGCGGTTTGTTTACAAAAAACCGCTATTTAATGTAGCGGTTTATTTTGGAAAACCGCTACTTCAAGTAGCGGTTTACTTTGAAAAACCGCTACTTGAAGTAGCGGTTTACCCTGGACTGGTTTTTTTTTCAAACTTGCATAATCACTCAAAAAAAAAAACCTGCAAGTTGTGTACCTGTAAAATATGAGATATATAGCATATTTTCAACACAACCACCATAAATAACAAGTTTATGAAGATCTAAGGAAGTCGAAATTGCAAAGTCGAATATTTTTCAATTGATTAAATATAACAAAATCCAATTCTAAGCATTTACAAAAAAATTAGTTTAGTTCCAAAATATACACTTAGCTCGGGCGTTGCTTCTTCCCATGAGGTGACGATGAAGATGATGCAGCTGTCTCCTCTGGAATGTCATCCAGGCCAACTCCAACCCCAGACGTAGTGTTGCTACGCCGTCGGTTTCTCTGATACTGGCGATGCACTAGTGGAGGAGATGTCATGATAGTATGCTGAGAAGGAGTCGGTGGACGGAAGGCACGTGCTGAATGGCCTCCACGATGAGGTGGTGGTCTGATCGGCATAGTGTGCACAGTAGAAGATGAAGACGTGGACGGTCGAGGCTGCTGAATAAGGTGTGACTGCCCCACCCTAGACAAGGTTTGGCCACAAAATGATGTAAAACCCTGCATCGTCTGTATGGCAAATGGTATAGCCGTCTCTGGTGGCAAGTGGGAGATGGTCTCAGTAGCTCCCGATAGCTGGACGTGCAAATCAGCAAATGCATGTGCCTACATTTAAGTGTAGTTTTAATGTTAGTAAAATGAAATCAAAAACGTAAGAACTAGATTGAAATGAAGTGAAGTTCATACAAGCAGGAGGTCCGAGGTAGCTGGCTGGTAATGACTCGGGGGGCGCTCCTGCGAAGGTGGAGTAATGACCAGTCTCGTGATGCGACGGTACCAAGCCATGTACTCTGTCATGGCCGGGGAAGAAGTCCCAGTGAACGGGTATCCCTGGACGACTAATGCCTCTCGTCGACTCCACTCGTGTACATGGTCTGAATGCCGAATCTCCCAATTACGCTGTCCCCTTCGATCCTTCCTGTGTAGAGCAACGTCCGTGTCTACATCCTGTGGGATCGGCTGGTCTAACCCGAACTGACGAAGGACTCGGTCTGGGAGGTGGAACTCAACGACGTCAAAGCATATCAGAGGTGCCCGTGAACGCCAAATGTGCATGTCTGAGCGACAAATCTCCGGAAGTCGATCCATCACCGCCTCAGTATATGGCTGCCAAATCATCTAATTCCCAAAACAAGTATGTCAACATGTATATGACTAACATAATGGAAGAAATACAATGCACAAAAAAAAAAGAAACACCGATTGTACCTGGTCCTCGCGCTGATGGTCAAACGCATCTCTGTAGTATGGTAGTCCAGAAGCAGTATGCGCACACGATAGATGGACACGTAACCACCTGTAAAGACATGTTAATAATAATTCTTGAAAGATAGAATTGTAAGAACATGAACTTGAAGCAAACATTGTACCTGCACGCCAAAGGGTCAACACCTCGCTGATGCTGAGTCCCCAAAATGTCATCCTCATCCTCAGCCTCAGGGTCCTCCTGTGGCGGATCTCGAGGCCTCCTAATGTATGGTCGGCCAATAGTAATATGCTCCCACGACCACAACTGTAGTAGGATGAGCGGGCCTCCAATCTGTCTTGAATCTCGCTGACATCCTCGACATAGCTGCCGATACAAAAAACCAAGAGTCGCACTCCCCCAGCTGTAGGTCGAAGCTGTCCCCCAGTCTCGAAGGAACGGCAAGTAGTAGAGTGACACAGCATCGCCACTCTTGTCGGCGAACAGAATAGATCCCATGAGAGTGAGAATGTAAGCACGGCTATGGCGCTGAACTGTCAAGTCATCAGCTCCCTCTGGCATCTGTGAGAAGTGACGTCTGAGCCACGTCAACTTCAAAGTAGATCCCTCCAGAAACGGCTTACCGTTATCATCATGGCCAGGTCGAACTCCCAGCAACTCCTCAACTAGGTCATGCCATCCCTCAAATGGAGGTCCAATGACAGGAGGGCCGTGCACTCTCAGACCTAACAGGACGGAGACATCCTGTAAAGTAATGGTGGCCTCACCTACCACTAGGTGGAAAGTATGTGTCTCCTGCCTCCACCTCTCAACCAACGCCGTAAGAAGAGATCGATCAAGCAAAAACCCTCCTCCCAAAATCCTATGTACACCGTAAAACCCAGCAAGCCTGACGTACTCTAGTACTCCGCCATCTACCCTCCACTCACGTCCCACGCTGACCATATGCTCCCTAACTGAGAGAACTCTATCAGCTACGCCACTCCAAACATCGTGGCTCCTATGGGAAGTCTGCAAGCGTAGAACAGATGGATCAACTGGGCCTGGACGAATCACCGGCTCCATGGGACCTACACGATAACAAAAAATTGAATTAATGTTAAGCGTTCGAGAAAAAACATAAATATTAAACAAGAATATATAATTAATCATGTTACCCAGATGATCCAAATCCACCAATAAGAGTAGGACATGTCTTCTTGTTATGCCCAGGTCGCCGACAAACACTGCATGCCTTCTTCACACGATTGGGACGCTCATCCATTTCATTTCGAATTCTAGTGGACCGTCGGCCAGGGCCTCTTTTCAAATCTGGGTTGGCAATAGTAGTAGGACCATTGTAAGCTAACCAGTGGCAAGGATCAGGAACTGGTGCAAAACACTTCGCGTATGAACGCCTATATTCGGCGGTCATGAAAAAAGAATCCACAAAGTCTGCATGTGATAGGCTTCTATGACGACAAACTGCTAGTACATGAGAGCATGGGAGCTTGTATATTCTCAATTTCTCACAAGTACATGTCTTGCTCAACAGATTCACAGCGTGGGAGTTACCACCTTTACCAGCTTTTCTTCTTCCACGACCGGTCCTAACCTGATACAACCCGATGGCATCATAGTCAAAAGCAACAACCTCATGGTGCACGGCTTTCTCCATGTTGGCTTCTATTGTCTTCTTAGCCTTTTCCGATAACTCATGGCCCTCTTCAAGTCTTCTTTTACTCCAACTTCTTCTAGTTGCAAAATAGGAGTTAACCCGGAAAAAGGTCATTTGCACTAAAGCGGTTATCGGGAGACATCGAGCCCCCTTTAAGACTCCGTTGAAAACTTCCGACATGTTTGTAGTCTTCACACCAAACCTGAAACCACCATCATGATGAATGGACCACTTACTGTACGGAATTTCCATCAAGTACCTACGGGCCTCTACATTCAAGTCACCAATTTTGTTGATGTAGTAATCAAACTTCTTCTTCTGCCTTGCAGTAGCTGCTTTGCCAAAGAGGTTCTTTATGACGACACTTTTAAATTTTGAGTTCACATTAGAAGTCAAGTGTCGTGTACAGTACTTGTGGTAGGCATTGGGCTCCTCCCAATCACTTCCAACTTCTTCCATTGCTGCTAAAATACCAGCATGTCTGTCAGATATCACACATAGCCCTTTCCTATCTGTAACTCGAGCACGAATACAAGCCATGAACCAAGACCAACTATCATTGTTCTCTCCTTCGACAACCGCAAAAGCAAGGGGGAATAGTTGAAAATTGGCATCCGTTCCCATAGCAATGAGTAGAGTGCCTTTGTATTTGCCATATAAATGAGTGCCATCAATGGTGATAAGGGGTCTGCAGTGACGGAATCCATCAATACATGGCTTGAATGCCCAAAAGACTCGTTGAAAAACATGTGTTCCAGGAACCGTACACTCTAACAACCTCCACTCAACAACAGTTCCAGGATTTGATTCCTTGAGAGCTTGCATGTACTTAGGCAACTGTTCATATGAACCCTCCCAACCCCCATAAATGAGTTTTATTGCCTTTTGTTTCGCTAGCCATGCTCTCTTGTAGGTTATTTGGAATCCATCAAATTTCTCTTTCACAAGTTGCACCATTGTCTTGATTTTCAATGAAGGATCAACGCGAATGACATCTAGAAGAGCATTGCAAACGAACTCGGAAGTCAGTAGCTTATGATCTCCCGAGTCGATGTCACCAACACAGTTACTTGCATGAGGGCCGTTGTACCTCACAATTTTAAACGTAGAGAGTGTTGGATCTTTCACTCCTCTAAGCCTCCACGAACAACTACATTGTTCTTTCCTCTTGCACTCAACAACATATTTCTCTGGCTCTGCCTCCACAACTCGAATTGTTTGATTTCTAGCTATGGAGTAAGATTTCACAGCATCTTTCAGTTGTTGCAATGAGTCAAACTGCTGACCAACCTCAAATTCTCCCCCATTGTTATATGTCTCATTTCCTAACCAAGACATCCATGAGTTATTCAAACGAGGATCAACTTGCGCCACTTCATTGAAGTCTGAAGTGGGGGCGCTTCCTTTAATTGCCTTATCACGAGCTTCAATTACCTCTTCATCATCATCTTCATCAGTGTCATTCATCTCTGCATCGCCAAATACATCAACATTGTTTGGGTCAAGAGAATCAAGAATGCCTTGTGGTTGTGTGCTTGTCGAGGTTCCAACATTAGGCGATGAGGCCGGAGACCTAAACTGTGAGAGATGGTCATTGACATAATGTGGATCAACAAGCATTCTTGTGAATGACCCTATGCCCACACTTTGAACACCAGTGGAAAATGGTTGATCCACACTACCAAAAAAATCCATCCCCGAAAAGGAACCAGTGTTAGTTTGCACAACTAGCTCCTTTGGAACTTGTTCAATGAACAATTGCATTGCAACAGAAGAACTCTGAGTCACAACAATCCACATAGCTCTAACAGCGTTGTCGTCATTTAACGGAATTGCAACATATGCCCCAGCCATAGGATAACGCATAACCACCTTCAACTCCACACCTCTAGGATCAACACTCAATTCTTCATATAGCTTGTTCAGAACTTGTGAATATGTCATCGCAGAATGTACAAACACAAATTTTTGATTCCCACCCCTATACGTTATATCGCTATCTTTGTGGACAATTTCTCCACCCCAATAGCAATATAGAGGGTAGTTCGGAACCTCCATGTTTCATTCTAGAAAAGACCATTATTAATCAAAGATATTAGATTGCAAAAATTCATTAACAGTGTGGCAATGTCCTAACATCAAGCAAGCAAACTACACAATTATAGCAACCTAAACTGAGCTATGAAGGTCTTAATACCTCTTGAAGCTCAACATGGGCATAAGTCATGACTACATGTACTTTGAGCTCATGTACTTTGTGTATAGAAGCTCTATTTTCACTTTCAAAATCAGCAATTATAGCAACCTAAACTGAGTAATGTGATCGAAACCATTAATAATTCTACAAGGGTTATATGTAAGGTAAGTAAATCAACAACAACAACCAAAACCAACCACAAACATACATACAATTCTGAAACTCAATAACAACAACAATAAACAAGAACACTAACAACAACAACACAACCAAAACCGAAACTCAATAACAACAACAATAAACAAGAACACTAACAACAACAACACAACCAAAACCAACAACAACAACACATACATACAATTCTGAAACTCAATAACAACAACAAACTCAATAACAACAACAAACCCAATAACTGAATACAAAAAATAATTAGGGCACTTACCACAAACAAGAAGATCAGCACGTTTCTTCTTAAATTAGCGAAGCCGACCACTAAAGTCGAACCCTCGGCGTCAACAGCGGCGGCCTTCGTTGCTGAGGAATGCTCCGGCGGCGTCGGTGGATTCCTTGGCTGCGCCGGCTTCCGTTGAAGGAGGTGTGATTTTGGTGGAAGGCGTGGATGGGATTTTGGTGAGAAGACGAAAATGAAAGAGGAAAGTGAAATCGGGAAATTATACTTGCTAGAAAACCGCTACTTGAAGTAGCGGTTTATTAAACAAAAACCGCTACTTGAAGTAGCGGTTTATTAAAAAGAAACCGCTACCTGAAGTAGCGGTTTATTAGTAAAAACCGCTACTTCAGGTAGTGGTTTTGCTGTAGACCGGATTTAAAATTTCTTCCCCCTGAACCGGTGACGTGGACGGTACTTTGGGAATTCTTAAAACTTTGGCTGCAATTTGGGAATAGCGGTTCTTCTTGACCTTAATTTGGGAAAGAGCTCTCTTAGTATAGCTTAATATATTGTCTAGATTCATAGGTTTCATCACCCATCCAACGGTACTAGTGTACTACTTTTTTTTAAAAAAAATTTATTAATTTATTTTCACTCTTATCTATTCACAAATAAAACAATTACAAATTTTGTACACGGCTGGTCACATGGTGCGACAAGGGTTACTTGTATGGCGTTAATTGTATTTTGGGGTTACTTGTAAGGTGTTACCGATTTTTGTCGGGGTGTTACTTGAAGGTGTTACTTGTATTATGGGGTTACTTGTAGGGTGTTACTGGTTTGGTATGGGGTTTGGTCGGAGGTTACTGATAGGAGTTACTCAGAATACAAGTAACACCTACAAGTGACCCTGTAAATCATTAAATGAAGGGTTTTTATTTTGGTGAAAATAATTGGTACTTTAAAATCTGTTCATTTCAATTCAGTTCTTAATTTCCTTCTCTTATAAAATATTCATTTCAGCTCATTTCAAACTCTTTAGCAATAATGAAACTTAACAATAAATATAATTTATTTTACCAATCTATACTTTTCACTATAATAAAATTAACAGATCATGTGAATATGTGAGTAAAGATTATTTTTGAAGAATAAATCAAGATAAAGACTTTAAATTTAAGATGGATGGGTTAGTTAAGTTGATATTAGTTTATAGTATAGATAGATAGATTAATGAAAAACATGTAGAGATCAAAATAAATATCAATCCTCAATACCTAAGGGTTTCTAATCTACCCAATACCCTATAATCTCAATTCTCATACCCACCTCCCCCCATAAAAAATTTCAATTCATTGTATTAATGAAGAAGTATAGAACCCATTCCAACAATAACAACTAAACAACTATAATTACACTAGTATGATTTATTTCTGGTATGAGATCAATCGATTCCAAGTATATCATTTCGGTACATTTTAATGAACCAAATCAAACACCCCCTAGGTTGAATGGTAAATTGTACTCGATACTTGAAAGTCACTTATTAGTCCCTCGTACGAACTTTTAAAAATTTACCTTTTCAAAACCTTATGTTAACTTATATGTCATAAAATAAGTAAAAATAAACTTACAGTCTTTGGAATATGAAAAAAAAAATATACACACTCAATTACAAGGAGAACCAAAGACCCCCTCTTTTTATGGTACACAAATGAACAATAACTATCAAAATAACCAAATACTACAATCCCACAAATGTGAAAGTAAAATTGTATAGATTGTTAGGAAAATAAAGTATTTAGTTCAATAGTCACAAAATGTCCATGCAATTATATCTAACCAAACTCCATCCATTGTTGTGTTTAGGCATTAGTTGATCAAACTAAGGATTTTCATGACTTAGGGCCTGTTCATATTTACTTAATTTCAATTCAGTTCAGCTCCAATCAGTTTAGTTAAGTTCAGTTTAGTTCAGCTCCAATCAGTTCAGTTCAGCTCCTAATTTCCTTCTCTCATAAAATATTTATTTCAGCTCATTTCAGTTCAGTTTAGTTCAGTTCAGCTCCAATCATTTCAGTTCAGTTCAGTTCAGTTTAGTTTAGCTCCAATCAGTTCAGTTCAGTTCAGCTTCTAATTTCCTTCTCTCATAAAATATTTATTTCAGCTCAGTTCAGTTCAGCTCCAATCAGTTCAGTTCAACTCAGTTCAGTAAATGTGAACAGGCCCTATGCTCAACTATATACTTCTTTCAAAAAAAATAAAATAAAATAAAACTAAACTACATACCGATTTTATTCGATCTAATCAACATAACAACACTTTTATTAATTCATTTTATACTCAATTTGATTAAAATTCGACCTGAAAATATTCAATTACCTGACTTGGTGTTGACCTTATCTAAAATTCGACCTGAAAAAAATCCAATTACTAGACTTGGTGTTGACCTTAACTAAACCCAAAGTTGACTCAAATCGACTTTACCCGGTACTTAGCTATCTAAACCGAATTGTGATCAACACATTATTTATTCAAAACCAATAAATCCCAATGATTGAAGATCTAAATTCAATCTAACTCTAGTTCAAAAAAAATTCGATCTAACTCGAAACTTCTAAAACCATTTTTATATCCAAAACTACTCACGACCCGATTTAACCCGGCCCAAAACTATGGTGCCCGAATTAACATCATGTCATTAATCTTCCTCAAATGGTTTCGTTTTTATTTCATACCTAACTATTCAATTTTATGCAGCAACACTCCTTCTCTTCTTTCTCCTCCATTGAAGCGTACTCTAAAATCTGCATTGAAGCATCTTCTGAGCTTTCTCTCCACCATTGATATATCTTCTGAGGTAAGATTTCATTCTATAATTGCTAGAATGTCAATTTCACAATCTAGGTTTTGATATTACATTATTACCTAATTTTTATTTCAATTGTGAATGTAGTATTAAATTGACAATTCATCAAATTATAAAGTGGATTATGAACTATTGATTATCATTGCTGAAATAAAAGCTTATAGGTAGCTAATTTTGTAATTAGTTTGATATTTGTATCATAGCTCAGCAGTCTGAACTCAGCTCATTTTTATTGTCACAAACATATAAAATGCATAGGTTAATTAATATGGTATGCCAAGTTATATATTGTACACTCATGGACCTTTTCAAGATTAGTAGACAATAGTCGTTCTTGATTTGGCTTTAGCTATTTGCCTACTTCCTCCTTTGGTGCTCTGCTATTCCCTTTTTCCTGTCTAAATTTTTTATTACTAACATAAGCAATCTAGAGAATGACACTATATCATAGTTAACAGTATACGATGTATTGCGGGGGTAACATAAGTAGATGATCCTGTGTTGTCATTAGAATACGATGTATTGGATCTTCTGGTTTTTGTTATTGTTCACTCTGGCTAAAGTTCTTTTCTTACATCCAAGTTTGACTGTGAGCTTTTACATTTTTTATTTGGTACTCATGGGTTTAATTGATTTCCATGCTTATGTTACAATCATAATCGTGTTGTATTCCTTTTCAACTAGCATAAGTAGCTATAATTGTTCTTTTGTGTGTGTCTGTGCTAGTTATCAAATCTTGCAATTTCTCTACTCCCCTCTCTAGCACCTCTCTAGGGGTATGACTCAATTATGGTATTGTAATCTTTAATTAATTTGTAATAAAATATACTACTTTTTCTTTGATTGTTTATCATCTAAGTTTTGATGTGAGTGAACTTTGCTGATCTAACCTTTTGTCCTCAATATAAGATGATATGTTGCTTTTATAAAACTACATTTTGTAAAATAATGTGGCTTTTATTTAAGGTATCAAAGTAGCTTTCAAATAGTAGGGACATTTAGTATGGGGTAGCTATTTCCAGAATTTGTTGATAAAGCTTCCAAATATGCATTTTAATCACATAATTATTGTTTTGTTATTTTGTTTTAGCCTGACCAAGGATTTATTAGTTGTCTCTTACTTTATTACCCTTGTTGTTGACTCTCCTTATAACTTATAGTGTTACAGTCTTTACAGAGTATTAAGTTATGGAAAAATCCAATAAAGATTGGATTGATGCACCCCAAATTTCCGAAGAGTAAATCAAAGGAGTTGAGAATTTTCTTGATTTTGCATTTCTAAATTCAACCATGGACGTTGAGGAAGATGATGAACCAGAAATTTTATGCCCATGTACGAAGTGTGTTAATAGATACTGGTTCCCTAGAGAAGTGGTATATAATCACTTAATTGCTCATAGATTTAACAAGAGGTATAAAGTGTGGAATTTTCATGGCAAAGGATTGACAACAGGGTCTTCTTTAAGCGGAGGCGGGCATCAACGTGATAATCAAAACACATTAGACAATATGGGTGAAATGATTAATGATTTATTCAGAGATGTTATGGGAGGTTCAATCTCCGAAGCAGAAGGGGTTCACAAGGGTCCTGATGAGAGTGCTAAAAAGTTTTATAAACTGTTAGAAGATGCAAAAGAGGAATTATATCCAGGTTTTAAGGATTTTTCAGTGCTTTCATACACAGTGCGACTATATCTCCTTAAATGCCTTAATGGGTGGAACAATTCTTCTTTCGATGAGTTGATGAAGCTTCAGTGTGCTGCCTTTCCATTTGCAAAGCTCCCTACTTCTTTTCATCATGCTAAAAAAATGGTGAAGAACCTTAGACTTGATTACAAACGAATTGATGCGTGTCCCAATGATTGTATGTTGTACTGGAAAGAGCGTGCAAATGACAAGTCTTGCCATGTTTGTAAAGCTTCTAGGTGGAAACTAAATGAGAAACAAAAAGAGGAAGGTGCACTACCCGACGAAGGAGTTCCTGCAAAAGTTTTGCGTTACTTTCCTCTGAAACCTCGTCTACAAAGGTTGTTCATGTGCTCTAAGACGGCTGAACTCATGACATGGCATGAAACTGATCGTAAGAAAGATGACAAATTAAGGCACCCTGCTGATTGACAAGCTTGGAAAGATTTCGATATTACACATCCTCAATTTGCAAGTGATTTTCGAAATGTGAGGCTTGGTCTTACGACTGATGGTTTCAACCCTTTCAGAACTATGAGTGTGTCATATAGCATTTGGCCAGTCGTTTTATCCATTTATAATTTGCCTCCTTGGTTGTATAATAAGTCTGAGTATAATATCATGTCTTTGATTATACCTGGTCCATCTTCTCCAGGTTATGATATAGATGTGTATTTGCAACCATTAATCGAGGAATTGAAGGAGTTATGGGAAGTTGGAGTCGACACTTATGATGTTGTGAAAGATGAAACATTTTCTTTAAGGGCAGCCTTGTTATGGACAATTAGTGACTTCCCTGCTTATGCAATGTTGTCGGGATGGAGCACAAAAGGAAAATTTTCTTGCCCGAATTGTAATCATAAGACTTGGTCCAAATACCTGAAGTATAGTAAGAAAATGTGTTACATGGGGCATCGTAGCTCTTTGAAAGAAAATCATCCATGGCGTCGTAATAAAAGAGCTTTTGATGGTAATGTAGAGACAAGGCCTCCTCCTACTAGATTGTCGGGTTGTGATGTATTGGAAGATTTAGAAGGGTTTGAAAATAAGTTTGGGAAAACTCAAAAGAAGGGCAGGAAGAATTTTCCTTGGAAGAAGAAATCAATTTTCTTTGAGCTTCCTTATTGGGAAACAAATACCTTGCGTCATAATCTTGATGTAATGCACATTGAGAAAAATATTTGTGACAGTGTGCTTGGTACTTTGCTTGATATTCCAGGAAAGACTAAGGACCATGTGGCAGCCCGCTTTGATTTACAAGATATGGGTATAAGAAATGAACTCCATCCAAAGAGAACTAATAATAGAGGGAAGCGTTTATACTCCAAAGCTTGTTTTTCGTTATCTTCTAATGAAAAAGACTTGTTCTGCAGTGTGATAAAAGGTGCTAAGTTTCCTGATGGTTGTGCATCAAACATCTCCAGATGTGTCCAATCCAATGAGCGGAAGGTCACTGGTTACAAGAGCCATGATGCCCACTTTATGCTTCATTATTTGCTCCAAGTTGCTGTAAAGAATACCTTGCCTAAACAAGTAGCATCGACTTTGATTAGGCTAGGTTCCTTTTTTAGGGGTCTTTGTAGAAAAGTTCTAAAGCCTAAAGATCTTGACGATCTTAAATCCGAAATCATAGAGATACTTTGCCTACTTGAGAAGATATTCCCCCCAAGTTTCTTTGACATAATGGTCCACCTTCCACTTCATCTTGTTGATGAGGTAAGGCTTGGGGGCCCTGTTCAAGGCCGTTGGATGTATCCAAAAGAGCGTTATTTGGGTAAATTGAAGTCATATGTGAAAAATAGAAGTCAACCGGAAGGCTCCATTGCAGAGGCCTACTTGGCAGAAGAATGCCTTGTGTTTTGTTCTCGGTATCTTCACGATGATTTTAGTTCAAAGTTGAATCGAGCTCCTAGAAATGATGATGATACTGCATCCAATGAAGATGAAAGCCTTTTTCCAAATGTTGGACGGCCTTTAGGGGTAAAAAAGAAAAGTAAAGGCAAAAAGGTTTCTTTAGATGAAGACACTTTGATGAAAGCTCATCGCTATGTACTCTTTAATTGTGATGAAATCAGTGATTACATAAGGTCAGTAAGTAATTTTAAATTGGTATAATTTCATATTAACTATATTTAATCTTTATTATTTATAATTGACTTATACAATTAAGTTGCTTTGTGATATATATGTAGTGAACATCAAGATTTAGTGAATCGTCAAAGAAGTCAAGGTACACGGAGTAAGCGGAGTAGGTGGGCGAGAGCACAAGAACATAGTCATGATATTGGAGCATGGTTCAAGGACCGTGTACGGGAAGAAAATATTTCCAAAGAAATCAAGGCTTTATCCCAAGGGCCTGACTATACTATGAGAAGTTTTAAAGGGTACCTAATAAATGGTAACAAATTTCATACAACTGCACATGAGTCAAAAAGGAAAACTCAATGTAGTGGAGTTAGTGTAACATCTTCAATGTCGAGTTTTGCAAGTTCTAGGGATCAAAATCCTGTTGTAGGGGACGTCAAATATTATGGCGTGGTGGAGGATATTATTGAGTTAGATTATTTTGGACATTTTAAAGTGGTATTGTTTCGCTGTAAATGGTTCCAAGTGGAGCAAGATGAGTTTGGGCTAACATGTGCAAATTTTAAAAGTTTTTGCTATACTAATGACCCTTTTGTGATTGCTAATCAAGTAAACCAAGTTTTTTATGTGCAAGATTCCAAGGAAAAGCATTTGCATTATGTTATGGAAACTATCCCCGGAGACTTCTTTGATATGAGTGAAGAATCAGATGGTGATGTTGGAGTTTCTTATTGGAATGAATCTACTAGCGATGGTGCTCACCCAGGGGCAACTATTGATGATGACTATGATGTTAGTTGGTTGAGAGAGGACTTGCTTGCCACTACTGTCGACGTTCCAGAATACATGTTAGATATGCAAGCAGAGCCGGAAATTGATGATTCGGATGATGAAATCGAGGACGATACTTTATGGGATTTCATGCAAGCAAGTGAAGATGAAGCTTAGGAAATATTATTGGTCCTTTCTAGTATTCTTTTTTTTTTAGTGTACTATGAAGTAATAAAAGCTTATGGATTTTAGCTTAAACAGTTTTTATTTGGTTTGACTGCAAAAATGTTTTTGTTTTAATGATCAAACGTGTCTTTTTTTTTGGGATTATTTGTTAATCTGTTGATGCTTGATTAGTAATAGTTGAAGATATCATATTGTCATAGGGATATGGTTGAATATTGAGAAATGATTGTGCAACAATGAGGTATGATGAGTTTTTGGTATGGTTTCTTATTATCTTTCAAAGGAAAGGATTACATAGACTGTTTTTGCACTTATACACCTTTGCTGGTTACTGAAGCTACTTTCATTTTATCCAGATACGTTAGTCTTCTACAGCAGGTCCCAGCCACGTAACTGATATAACAAGAGAGGTATAACTTCTGGTATTTTCCTTAAAAAAAATTAGTAACTTGTTGTCTTCAATTTTTTGTTGGCTGCACTGATTTCATTTTCTAGTTTTATTTAATAGGCTATTAAAGAGGATGCCAATGATATAATTTCTATTGGTAGTGATCAAGCCTTGATGAGGTGTGTTTCTCTCTACTCCCAAGCTCTATCTAAAGCAATTGCTTTCAGGCTTGAATAATTTCGTAAAGAAATTTGTTTGAATGTTCTGATTTGCTATTAACTCTAAACACGTACTGATAGCAAATTTGCCACTTCTCTACAGATTTAGAAAGGTAGTGACAAGTTTCTTTTTGTTGTATTCCTTACTAATGGCCAGACCTTATACACCTGCTGCCCTGACCTCTACCTCTCTTTGTTGATGTCTTAGTGTACTGCTGCTGCTTTGTACTGTTGTTGTTACCTGTTGCTGTTGAAACTCTAATTCTGTTGCCCAGTTGATTTGAGTTGTTGCACCCCTAACTATACACTTGCTGCCAATGTGGCAGTGCCACAAGGTTGCTGCTGATGAGATGTTAGCCTATATGGTGATGTGACATGGCAGTATGGCACAATTTTGCGTGTGTGATTATGTATACCTGTGCTTCTTTGCGTGGTATTGATTTAGATTGAAGAACAATACCAAATTGGATTATGTCAAGACACTAACTCTCATAGTAAGGGGCATTGTTCGATAAATCTGGATTATGTTTTGCATAAATACAACTGATTTTTATCCCAACATTGCAAAAATCAACTACTAACACTATTATTAATCCTAATGAGTAATAACCTTTGTTTCATGTTTTAAGACACAAACACACATAATTAGGGGTATTAAGTCATGATTTGATCATTTTTAGGTCTAGTTTTGTGTTAATGAAGCATTTTCAGTTCCAAGTTTACAACCATGTATCAGCTAAATCTCCCCTCGTTCTGCCATTAGCTGCCAAAAAGTTCTCTCTAGTCCTTTACACACGATTTTTGCTCTGAACTGGAGTAAAGCATGAGTTCCTCTCAATCTATTTCATTGATTTTTATGATATGCTTGTTTGCATTAGCTAAGTGATGCATGGAAATTTTATGTATGTAAAATTATGAGCTTTATAATAGGTATAGTGGTACACTTTTGGAATATTATTGTGCTGGTGTTTGTTGAGTATTCAAGTATACATTCATTCATGTGTTGTTTATGTCCTAAGCTGAAGTAAATTTAACAGGAACTTGAAAATTCTTTGCCTTAAGGGAACACTAGCTCCGGAACTTCACCAACTGCTACACATAAAGTCTATGTAAGAATATACGTAGTATTAAAACAAATGAAGTATAATACTGTATATAGTTGTTGTTCTTTTTTATCTTGCATTTATGTCACTCTGAAGTCTTTTGCAGCATATTAAGGAACAATTCCTTTTCTGGATTCATACCTGAAGAATATAGAAATTTGAAAGAGTTGGAGTTGCTAGACTTGGGTTACAATAGATTTTGCGAACCAATTCCACACAAAATTGAACAAAACATCCCAAACCTGTAAGTTGCTGCAACATTTTTGCGTACATACTACAGAGAATATTCTAAATACAATGTTGTTTTCTCTTTAGTCATTACGCCCACCCCTATTTAATCTGCAGTTTATTAAACAACAATGGATCATCCTGCCACGTCTCTTGATGTAGAAGATACAACGCTTCTTGAGGTTCATGAAGATAAGAGCCAGCTGAGTAATTATCTTGAAGTATACCACATCCTAGGTAATGTGGGACATTACACATGACTGTAGGGAAGATTTACAGGTTACTTATTAGCAATACGTCTACAAGAGAATTTCTCTGGCTACATGTTAAAGCATTAAGCCCTTGCATTAATATTCCTCTTAAATGAAACTGTTTAGCTTAGAAATGATCGAGATTAAAGGATGTGCTTCTTTGAGGGTAAAATGTCGTTTTCTTTGGTGAAGTCTTGATGACAACTTGCTCTTAACCTTAGGCAAAATGATCATGCAGAAGAGGTTGTACATTCAAGGATACTACAGGAGCGACTTTGAAGTGAAGCTCATGGTTCTGAGCAACTATTTACACCTGATGAGGCACGTGCAGGTGGTGAAGCTAATCATGATCATTCTGATGCATCTCCAGATGGAAAGATCCTACCACTTCTTAGCCTTTCGCTCAAGTTTTGTGTGTATTTAAGAATTTTATCATTCCTGTTATATGATTTCATTCAACAATGAATTGCATGTGATATGTAGATTTGTAGCTTGATTTTACAATTCTCATATTAGTTTTTGATTGAGAGTTTGATTTGTGAAGTTTTAGGATCAATTTGCTTTTGTTTTATGGGTTTTAGTTTGATTATCTTAATTTGCTATTCAATGTTTGAGCTTTATCAGCTTGATAATGCATATTGATAAGCAGCAGGGAGCAACCAGCTGCCACCAGCAGGCGACTACATCCAGCCAGCAGCTAGCCACAGGCAACAGGCAGCAGCAGTAGCTAGCCACAGGCAACAGGCAGCAGCATGTAGATGTTGGAATAATATCAGTTCTTGCTTAAATCAGGTAAAAATATGCTGAATTTACGTCATGCTTAATTAAGCATTCTAGCTTTAGCAGATTTGGTTTGGTTTGGTTACAAAAGTATTGATTATTTCGGACAAAGAATAAGAATTCGTTTGAGAAAATTTTATTTTGGATGAAATCATGTTGGTAACTAAAATTAGATACTTATACGTACTAGAATTCTCACAGATAAATGGTATATATCCCAATTATACACAAAAGTTATCATATTGTGGGGATTTTGTGAGTTGATTATATTGATGATATTTTTACTGCTGCCATTTTAGATTTTGGAATTATAATTTTTTAGAATTAGATTTTGGGCTGAAATAATGATATATTTATTTTTTTTGTTTAAAAGCTATTTTATAAACATGATTTCTTTAGGATGCATTTCCATGTTTATAAATATGATTTATGTTTTCCGGATGCCTTTATCTTAATCTCACACTGCACATTGTACAAATCAGCAGAAGAAGAGGTGCTGATATGTGGGTGGCGTCTGATAAGTGCTGGTCTTGTAACAACCGAGTTTTCGTCCCAATCAGCAAGCAGCCAACCACAAGCAGCAGCTAGCTGCCACCAACAGGCAATCGCCATCAGCACCAGCTAGCTTCTAGCAGTAGGCAGTCGGAACAATCCCTTCACATCAATCAGGAATATGATTGATGTGAAGGGATTGTAGAGTACAGATAACCTGGAATGATTTTCATATTTACCCTAAAAGCAATTAAAGATGCCACACAATACTGCCACCAAGGGAGGAAGAGGCTATCAGCCTATTTTGCTATAGCAAGAAGATGAATAATGTAATCAAAAGAAAGAAGTTGCAGTTTGTGAAGAGTTCTTGAAAACATTTGACAGTCATTTGAACTGGCAGGAGACTTTAATGATACTTGAGTTACTCACATTCTGTTTGAATCACTAGCACATTTTTTCTCTGAATATGATTAGATTTGTGTTCTAATTTGATTTTAAGAAGTGCCTACTAATGGCCTGCTGCTACCTTGTTGTACTACTGCTACCCGCCTTCGCGCCTTCTACATTGCGCTGCTGCTGCACATTATTATTGTCTTTTTTTTCCTATTTTTTTTTTTTTTACATAGCAGCCAGTTTTTTGTAATTCTTTTTATTTTTAAATTATTTGTATGGTATAATTAACATCAAATTCTACTTGTATGAAAATAGTAACTTTTACATATATATTCTATTTTCTACATTCATTTAGCTTAAAAATGATGTTGTGAAATGTCAAATTCACCAACCATATATGCACTGGCCTGGTTGAATTTGTGAGCCTTTAAGGTTAGAATTACTAGTGCTAGTCATTTTTTTGCACTTGACGTTAACGTTTTCAAATTATTGAATAGTTAATAATTTTGTTCCTATTGACAATAATTTGTTTATTATTATTATTTTAAAACCAATGTTCTAAATAATAACATGTATTATGCAAGGCAATGAAAACACATAAAACATTCGTTGTCTTAGATACCTTGAAAAACCATTTTTAAAATTATTGCATTAGCAAGAATTTAATTGTTGTGATCTTTTTAGACAACATTTAAAATAATTGTTGTCTTATGTAAAAATAAATGGCTACATTTTACATATTGCTGTCTTACATAATCTAAAGCAACACTTTTTAAACCGTTGCATTGTCATATAGTACAGATTGTTCAAGATCAAGGTAACAAACAAGTATTGTTGCCTTTTACTACCAAAGGCAACGTTTGTCATTTTGTTGCAATTTTGTCCGTTGCCTTTTCTCATTTTTTTTGTAGTGTAATTTGTGCGTTGTTGAATTTTTGATTCCAGGATTATGGTTCTGTTATGCTAGGCATTATTTCGCAAAGATGGAAACATATGCTGGCGTTTGTGCTATAATTTAATGATCTTACATATGTGGCTCTTGAGTCAAGTTTATTATATATTATCATCTCTAGTTTTGAATATGGTTTCTTTCTTCTGAACCGCTCACAAGAGTATAGTGATCATTGATCATTTTTTTAATTTCTTGCTTTAATTTGTGTTAGTGAACTTGAGAGCAAAAACAATTATTTGATTTTAAACTCAATAACTTACTCTGGCCATCTAAGTTTTTATGAATAATATGATTTTGTTGTTTTTGATATTTTTTTAAGTAGGTGATCATTGTAATATATTCAGTGTATGCTTTTGCTTGGTGTGAAATATCTTTTAAAGTGATTATGTTTTGAGGGTATAATAATACCATCTTACTTGTGTGATCAATCATGTTTGTTTGATTGGTTGCTTAATAAAGATACAATAGAGTGTTTATACTTATTTGCTATGCGTTCTGTTTGTTGTGTAGTGGGTTAGCTTTTTTTCTTTGAGAAACAGTGTTTTCTTTAGATTTCTGTTTGTTGAGTGGTGCCTGTTGTTGGGTTTCATCTTTTGGAGTATTCGTATCCTTTTAATTACTATCAAGGTTGTATAACAATATGTTTGCTTTCAGTTGTCCTGAAGGTATACATAATTACTATGTCCTAGGACAACTGAAAGCAAACATATTGTTATACCTTGATACATAAAAATACCTTCTGGAGTATTAGTTATTGTCAAATTGTTCAAATCATCAAATGGTTATTTGCGAATTGAATTCTGATATTAAGTTTGTGCTATAGGCAGCAACAATGATTTCTACTAAACCACACCCTCTCATAGTCGTGGAAGAGTGTAATACCCAGATATTTTACGATTTTATAAAATATATTTTATGGAAAAATAAATAAAATAATTTTTAATTCCTATTTTATGTCCAGTAGAACTCTTATTTACGAACTATAAATTATCTTAAACCCTAATAAAGTTATTGTATTTTAGAAAAAAAAAAAAAAGGGAGCAGTGGTTTTCGTTTTTTGTGCGTGCTTTATGTTAACTAATACCAAAACTTTGATTCTTCATTAAATTTTCTTTTTCATTCAACAATTTCCATCATCCATCATATCAATTGTTTTGTTTGATGGTTACATCATGATGAGATCAATGGAGAAGCCACATGATATTTTTTTTTTTGGTAAAATCAAAGCCTATGATAGCCTATTTCTTGCCGTAGTCCGAAGTGAATTCATCCGTATGGTAATCACACTAAATTATAGAGATGTTTGTATTATATTTTGTACTATTATTATATGTGATATGATTTATTAATAGTACTCCTTGTATATATGATTAATTATTATGATATTGTATGATTTGATTTGATTTAAATATTATATTATTTTTGTTGTATATAATTGATTGTACAATTATTTCTAGGGTTTTAATGTTGTTGTTATAGGGAGTATTGTTTTATCGAGGTTTTAAGGTTGTTAATGCAAAGTATTATTTTTGAGTTGTGAGTTAATTATAGTTGGGAACTAGTATTATTTTCCTAAGAGTTAAGAAGTTTTTGAATCGAATTCTTATGTTTTTTTGGGAACCTGTGCCATTATTGAGATATTATTAATTAATTTGTAAATGGTTATTTGATCGATGTATGAGATCAAAAGGTTGAAAATTATTTTGTTATTGGTTTGAGGCTCGGCGTTATAGACCTTAGTCCTTGACATGTTGGTAATGAGATAATGATCATAAGTTAAGAATGAGGTACAATCTTTATTAATTATTTTTCTATGGACCCCTACAGTGGGAATTGGCCCGTATGTGGTCTGGTTCAAGGTGTTTTCTGGTTATTGGGAGTATTCAAGTTTTTATACTTGTTGGTTTGTTATTCGAATTACCCATGTCCAAGGCTAGGTATAAAAGAAAGAGCATGACACATTAATTGGTTATGAGTTAATTGAGTGAAGGATTGTGTTATTATTCGAGGTTGAGTTGACAGAGGTTATTTTCATAGTACAATGAGTAATGTAGTTTCGAACTACATTATTTAATTGATATATTAATGTTAATTATTATATTATACACTATATTCTGATATGTGGTGATTACTCAGTTTTTGCTGACGTGTGTGTTTGTTTTTGTTCTGTTACTTGTGTTTGCGGCCATGTCTTTTTCTTATGGTGGTCCTGCAACGATCTATTTTGAAATTTGTCCTAATGGTGAGCAGTCAAGTTCGTCTAAACAGGTTGAACAAGTGATCGTAGCTAAAGGAGCTCAAGTGATCGATTAGTTTGTTTATAACAAGTTTATAAAGTTGTATAAATAGCTCACCTAGTTTATTGAGTTGTAATTATTGGGATTTTGTAAGCCTTAACACTTGACAGGTTGTCGAGTGTGGCGGTAATACCTCCGATTTAGGAATATGCTTCCGCAATTTTATTTAAAGGTTGTTTATTTTTCCTTTATTTATTGTTTATTATTAGCTAGTAAATCGGGGGTGTTACAAAGAGGTTGAACCCGTGGAAGAGGTTGTGGTAGACTCTTGAATTTGCTATGCTGGAACCTATGTTGCTGCCGCTATTGGAAACTATGCTGCTACTGCTCACTTTGATCCTTAATTGTTTAGAACTTCTGTTTAATTTGTTGTTCAGATTGGACTTTATTGTGTTTGTTGAGATTTATGTTGTAAACAATATTGTGTTTGTTAGACTTGTAGACTTGTTATTTTAGTATTGTAACTCTTGTTAGACTTGTGTTTGTTAATGGTTCTGAACTTTTGATTTAGTATCAAAAATAAAAATATTGGAGCATAATTTGGCCCAATGTGTTTTCTCTGTTGAGAAGAAAGTTAGCTTATTTGGTTAAACAGGTCGGTTTTAAGTCAAGGTTTATTGTTGGGTAAGGTTCATGTCAAGGCTCTTGACCCATTTAGTTAAATGGGTCGTGTTTCGGGGTTTTCTGATGTCTTGCGGGAGAGTTACAATTCCGAGACTGGAACCGGACGCCTGTACCTGCAAAATAACGGAGACTCTTGTGAGCTCCGCCTCCAACGGTCAAGTTAGTACCTGATTAAGGAGTAATTAATGCTGAAATTAAAGTGATTTGGTCTCTCTAGGGGAGAGCGTTTAATGTAGGTAATCTGCTTTGTTAGCGAGATCAGCCGGTTATTACTGTGTGTAATTAATGTGTTTTTCCGTAATGTTTCTGTTCTCTTTTTGTAATCCCCCTTAATGAGGATTAAGGGAGGTATTTATAACCTTGGGAAACGTGCCCATCCTAGGTTTAGGTAAACCTAGGGCCGATTGGGCTTCCCTCGGAAGTTGGGCCTGGGTGGCCGGTTTCTCCATTAGGCATGGAGTATGCCACATGTCTTGACATAACAGGTCCAAGGTGGACGAATAAGCGCGTGCCACGTGGGAAGCCCTGACTGTTCCAACTGGGGGACACTTGGCAGGACCTGATTGGTCCACGTGGCGCATTCCGATTGGTGGGAGCAAAATCCCCTAATCATTTGCCCCTCACAGGTGGCACGTGATTGGTCACGTGTTACCTGTGACAGGTGTCGCACTGTAACAGGCGACGGCCTGCTACAGGTGTCAGTCGGCGAAAGGACGAGAGATTTTCCCGCCCAAATTTTGAATTCTGAAAGTGACCCTTCGCCTTCTCACTTCGCCTATATAAGGGAGAGTTGTCTTGAGTCATTTTCACACTTTGAGAACTTTTTGAGAACATTCGGACCCCTGAACTTGCTCTGACATTTTGGACCTTTTCAGCCTACCGCCTGTTCTGACAAGCCGACTGCACAGGATTTTCAGAACTTCATCAACCGTCACTCGTTCAGGTAACTCAGTTCTCTTACTCTTAATTTTCTTTTTATTTTCTGAAATGGCACCACGGAAGCACACGACACGACCTAGGTTAGTGATCAGCCGGTCACCGGGGACGGCTGAATCTAGGACTAGGAGTGCCGCCTGCCCTTTTCCGGACCCATCTTTGCCCTTTATACAAAGTCCGACTGTATCTGTGTCTATGCAGAGCAGGATGGCCAGAACGAAAAAGACAGCTAGGATCTCAAATTCAGACGGCTCCTCCCACAGGGTGTCGCTTAGTGAAACATCTGACCAGGCGCCAGATGTGGAAGTGAAACAAGGCGGCCTGGATGCCAGCAATTCTGTGGGGGGAGTCATAGTGACCCTTTCCCATTTAACAGTTAACAAATCTTCTCCTCTTCAAAGAGAGGAGGCGGGCCCCTCCGGGAGAGGGGAGGAGTCGTCCTCTTCGGACTCGTCGGAGGACGATTCCGAGTCAAGCTCTTCTGGCCATGCTTCTTTGGGTACAGAAGAGAAAAACAGCCGCCTGCAAGAGGCGA